TTCTATAGATAAACGTAATTTTGACGAATTAATAATAAGGCCGTGATGGGCTTATCGACAAATTGGCAAGTTGGGAGAATCATTGCAATGCATTATTCGTCGTAAGAAGTAACGTTTAATAAACATTTCAATGAGTAAACTGATACCATGTGATTATACATACAGGACGATTCTCGAAACAGGTGATCCGATGAATACGAATGGAAACTTGATGCGTGAAAGTGCCGAGTGTCGAATCGATTATTTATTTACTTAATGCTCAATTTTAATCCACAATTTTTCATTCTCATTATGAAGTTGGACCGCGTGCTCGCATACTTTTCATTCCTTCGTTTTTCCCTCTACTTTTATCCCTTTTCCAAATGAATATAAATAAAAATGGCATTGCTCAAAAAACATTATTATTCAGGAAAGAGTTTTTAAATTTATATCCTTAATGCAATGAATACGAAATTAAAAATAATAAATTTAAAAGACAAAAAACAGCAGAAGAAAAAAAATTCCAACCAGTCGATATTCTTTGTTTTTATAAATTTCCATAACTGAAACGCTAAACGTATTTAACTCGGGTATTATTAATTTATGAAAAACTCCTTGAAATTGTTCATTTAGTATTTGAAGATTTGTATTTGATTTCAGAAAGATATGTATATATTGATTTTTCTTTTTATTCTTTACTTTAATAAATCCTATCTCATATTTTATTTCACATTTTATTTAAGTTATATTAAAAATAAAGTTCTTCAAGTTTTCTATATAAGTTTATATAATATAATACACAAAAATTGATATTTTAAATTTAAAGTTTACTAATACGACATTTTAAATAAAATGACTAGGCTTTTCTACATTACAAAGTTAATATGAACGTTTATATATTATCCAGAATACTTTTCCCCCTATCTTTTTTTATATAACGCGATTATAATTTAAATTTTAAACAGAAATGCATTGAGTCATATTTTTTAATTATAAAATTGTTTTCTTATCTTATATAAGCCTATTAAAAATTAGTATTTGTTTTTTTTTTGTAGTACACGTCAAGTAAAAGTTTTTGTTTTTTATCACTCTATGTTGACAAATATAAACTGCCATAAGTACAATTATACTAAATGTATTTGGAAATCATATAATTAATAAAACTAAATGGATATTAATTTGTTTACCACGAAGCCGTCAGTATTTTTATAATAAGTTGCCAATTCATTAGATAGTAAGAAAATTGTTTGAAGTGTTTCAATTAATAGGCTCATTAGACTATATATTTATAATTTTAATGCAAATTGCCATTTTCATTTATAAATTGTTTATGATGATAAACAATCTAAGCTTAATAGAATTTAGGATAAATAATGATTAACTTGGGAAGCATTATCATTCGCTTTATATTGTTAAAGTGTCGCGTGCTTTTTTAAAAAACAATTTTAATCCAATTTTTTTTGGGGAGAGCGAAAGGAAGCCCAAAGTATGAAAGACATGGAAATTAAAATTACAAATTTACTGATCTCGCCTAAAAAAGGAAAGCTTAAAGAGCTTTTTATTCTTCTGTCACGCCTGCGCTAGCTTAACCTTACAAATTGCGAGTGACTTTCTAAGAAAGACTTTGATCCTCGCGAAAGGAAACCCCGAACTGAAATGAATTTGAAGAGGGTAGCCCAGAATATTTAGCTACGAGACCTTGGTAAAGGAATCCGCGGGAAACTTGGGATTTTATACCTTTAGTGCTGCTTTTTTGCGTTGGTCTTTGCGGTTTCTGATGTGATTCGTTCGTTGGAGGCATTGTGTACCTCTGACTTGTCACGCAAAATTTTCTTTCGAGTTCCTTGTTTGTTCTAATATACGAGTGAAAGAGGTACGAAAAATGTTATGATACTCGCTTCTGTGAAAGTTTCATTTTTTTCTTTATTCTGTTATGTAATAACGACTTGTAATTTTAAGGAACTGATTTCAATGCAAATTGTGTGGACTTTTCGACTTTTATTGTTTTTTTTTTGTATCATCACGTTTCGTTCGTTCGATTCTCTGTCATATTCAGGTGGATCTGCGTTAACACCTTTAGAGTTTTTGTCAATCATGCGTGATATTTCCAAAATTTTTATTTGCACATTAAACGAAATTCCCTCCCCCCTCCTCCTCCTTTGTTTCTCAATTCAAATGACTACATATTTCATTAAAAAATTGATAATAATTCTTTTTCTTATAAAAATGTTATAATTTAATGTTTTATTGATATTATGTTTGTTTATAAATTATCATTATTTCATCTACTCCACGGAATTTATTACAAAGTATCTTAGCTATTAAAGTATTTTTGCTCGATTTAATATATGTATAAATACTCAGAAATTTCTTAATCCAACAATTATTCGTAAAAATAATATTCACTAAATGAATGTAAAAGTGCATATATCAATACGTATTAGCTACAATCGACTTTGCTTCCTTGTAATTTCCAGCTGGAAATAATTTCTCTAATGCATTTTCATCAACTTTACCGGTAATATTATAATCGAGCGAAATTCACCGCACTAAGATCATCCCACGGACCTTTCGGTAAATTGTGATATGAAAAAAATTGGCGACGCCGTCTGCCATAAATAAAATTCAATTCTTCCTTCTTTTTATTTAATGATGTATTTTACCTAATCGCCATTTTCTAAAGCACCGGGACACGACTGAGGAGATGACGAGGATATGTCTCGGAAATTTTTAGTTTTAAAATTTAAAGTAATCCAGTTGAGGATTCCCAATTGGCCTATCACTCTGGTTGCATAAAAGTCACACTTTAATAAGTGTGCTTGAAGTAAATGAGAAGGTAATGTTTAACTTGCGCGATGCTTAGGTTCATGGGACCTCTGATATATTTATTTATTTATTTATTATAGAATAATCCGTGTCGCGCTTCTTGTGTTATTAGCGCGTAATCAATATTAAGACTTAAGAATATCGATATTAATCAATAGCGCGTATCAATAAGTAAGACGAATAACGATATTGTAGTTTTGGCTCCATATTTTATAGAATTAAAAATGAGGTATTTATGACAAAAGTTATTTTGTAAATATTTTTCAAAATTTCAAATAAAATTTAGAGAATTTTTATTCCAAGCAAACTGGTTCAGTTATCTTTTGGAAATAAATATGTGGCAGATAATTGCAATAAATAAACACTGAATATTAACTTCTTATAATTATTTGTTTATTTGTTACTAATATAATTTATGGTATAATTTATAATCAAATTTATTAAATTTCCTTTATGATTGTAATTTATGTTTTAAAAACAAATTAAATAAAAAGTACTTATATTAATCAAGATACAAAAGTAATTAAATTTATTCATAGTAGATTCTATAAAGAATAAATAATTGAAGTCAATGCAGGAGAGTGGATATTCCTAGTACCAAAAAATGTCTGTGCGATTTTTTTTTCTTAAATGGTTATACTTATACTTAAACTTATACTTAAATTACTTTTACATACAATTTCACTTTTAGAAACTTCTCTTTCTCCTTACTCAACACTTATTAGTTGTTAAAAAGCTAATGTTAAAATCATCATGTCAACCAGTAATAGGATTATGGTCCAACATTTATTGCGCAAAAATTTTTTTTATTATACTTATTAATGCATCATGTTAAACAATAAATATCTAAATCAAAAGTTGTTTTATTTTTATAGAGAAACTACTAGAAAAACTTTATTTAACAATTACATTCCTCTTTTATTATGCGATAATTATATTGTATAAATGACAAAGTATGTAATTTGAAAATTAGACGTATCGAGTGTAATGGTAAGTAGGCACTTGTGGTTTAATAATTGAATTTTATTTTATAATATTATTATGTAGGAATATAATGCGAACTACGTTTAGAAAGGAAAATCGATTTAGCATATAATTTTATTCATTTTCATCGAACAGCCGATAATCTGACAACGTCTACCAACGAAGAGATATTTCTCAAACTAACTCTAGTTTTTTTTCTTTTTTTTTCGAACATTATACGTATTCAGTTGGATTTAAATATAGACCTTTGCTACATACATTAAGCGATAGTTTAATTATTATTCATGCCATTATCTCTTGTAAATATATTATTTAAATTTTAATTTCAGGCATTTTCAGTCGGGTAGATATAGATTGTGTATGAAGCAAAATCCGAGTTTTCTTTTTTTCATTTCCCAACGAATCCTTTCCAACATTATTATTGGATTTGGTATCATGTAGCTCTTGTGTAAAATTTTATTATGAATACAATTTTCCCGCAGTACTTTATCAGAATAATTAAAAATACGTTTCTTTTTTTTTTTAGATTAAGACGTTCTTGCTTGTTCTAAGCATTAATTGGTCGTGCCATTAATATTGGTCGTTAAGCCCAAAGAAAGTTTTGGGCAAATAAATGCTAAAGCCGACATTGTTTAATAAAAGCAATTATACCTTACTTTTAATTATACGGGAATAAAATTTTTTTTTCATCGAATATATTATTTTATAATTTGCAATTCAGATCATTAGCTATTTTCATATCGTGTGAATTCGAATTTTAACTTAAGTACTTTCACGACACTTATTATTTCCTTAGGATTATTAAGCTGCCTATTGAGTGGCTAAAAGCTACCGATTATCGTTATGATAAAAAAGTTGTTTGACATTTCAAACAATAATGAACGATATATATTTCTTCAATAATGAAATTAAAATTCAATAAGATACATTTTTCATGAATATTCCAGCAATTTGACAATAGTTGGTTGTTTAACAATAATTGATTAATATGTTGCGCCTACCAATTACACGCATACAGACGCACGCGGGACTATTATTGAACATCGATAAGGAGTTGTAGTTGTGTGAAAAATGACAAAGGCCGTGCATAGGCCGATTGGGTGGCTGAAACGGTGGGAATTTATGATTGACCGATTGAGATTGGTCGAGGGAAGATTCGTCGAAAGTAGGGAATAACGGAGTAGCGGACTAACCGAGTATTAATGTTTCAGTGCTGGACTGCGTGGTATCCGGCTGGGGCTCGTGGTCCGTTTGCGACAGCGAGTGTGGTCCTGGGGCCCAGACGAGGTCCCGTCTCGTCGAGCGTGCCGCCGAGAACGGCGGTAAGCACTGCCCCCAGTTGGTGCAGCATAGAGGCTGCCAGGGCTCCAAATGTCATCGACGCAATCCCAAATCCGCGCTTAAGGGTAAGTGTAGCGCTTGAAAGCCTCGCGAACTCAGCCCCCGAGATTCCCGAACTTTTGTCCTTTAGTTCGTCACCTGGCAGGGAGGTGAATCCTTCATGGAGAGCTTTCTACGCTTTACGACGTTTTCGTAGTTTTTTTTCGTAGCTGGCGCTGGGAAATACTTGCCGAGGTCATTTTTTTTTACTTCGAAGGGTTAATCGGAAAGAGGTTGTTGAAGACACCCGATTAATGAGCGACTCATACATAATTTGAAGAAGATGTCGTTGAATTATGAAACAATAGAATAATATTGGTGAATAAAATGTAAATGAGATGATTAAAGAGTAGGGGGGATGAATGAATAGTAGAACATAAAATCAATAATTACAATTATAATTAAGGTACATGTTTATTTTTTCGTTATATATAATTAAAGAAAAATGTCACTATTATTATCTGCTTTCCGTTAATTAACTCTCACCCTTTTTCTGAAAAGCCTTTTTATCGATAATAGGTTAATAACTTGACGGTAATTATTAATAAACTTGACGGTAATTATTCGTAAACTTGACGAGAGGGGCGTTATTGTTGCAATAACCCAATGTCGAGGGAAGTAATTTATAGATTGACAATGACATGAACGTGGTTGAGACTTGAATGATGTAGGCATCGTCGATGATTGTATTAAGGATGATAACTTTGAGTGAATATATTGGATAGTCAAATTATATGTACAAAGAAGTTTCCGATTATCTTACATATTTTTTAACTGAACTCGGACATCCATCTTTTTATTTTTTATTTTTATTGGATGTGCAATATGAATAATCTTAAATTTATAGAGTATAATGAAATATTATTAATTAATAATTAATCATAATGGAGGAACTATGGAAGCGAATTTTTACTACGTAATCTTTTTTTTGACATATTTATATATAACGTTTAATTAGAATTCTTTCGACTTTGCATTAAATTTGCATAGTAATAATATTTTTGAACAGGTATTTTGATGAATTAAAACAAGAGCTTTCATATGTTTATGAACAAATTAATTATATATATATATATATATATATATATATATATGTACTAGAATATAGAATGTGATAATGTAATATATATATATATATATATATATATATATATATATATATATATATGTACTAAAGTGTAAAAATAATGATTGAATATACAGAAATATTATTTTAAAAAATTTTATTTGATAAATTAATTGAATGAGATTTTTTTGTTGACGGACAACATTTAAAACGCTTACGAATGATACATAATTTATTTCTTAGTATAATAATGGAAAAATTATTTTATATCTATTTAGGTTCTTAATATTCATGCATATTTCAAATTCAATTTAATTTAAATTGATGATATATATTTATATATATTTTTTTCAATTTAAAAATTAAACTTTCGTATTAATTTAAAAAGCCGTTAGTTAATGTAATGATAGTAGAGTCAATAATTTAAATTACAATTCAAGCAATCAACGAATTTTATCGGGAGGACTATATTCTAGCATTTCACTTACACATTAAAATGAAATACATCTAAATCATATATAAATCTACGAATACTTTTTAATTTGGACAAATTCTTGGAAAGGAAAGAAAATGGTAACTTTATGCTAAAGGTCAAGACATTTTTATTAATTATACGTAATGAACGGTAATTTAAAATGAAACGTTTCTGCAAAATCGAATAAGCGTATAGATCAGAAAAATTCCAATAACAGTATTTCTTTCTTTCTTTCATTTTTTCTTTCTTTCTTTCATTCTTTTTTTTATTATAGAAGTTGCCTTATTACTACCTGCGGAACTAAGCGATGTGCGGCACATGAACGACAGCAACGACATTCGCACGAATCTTCGACTGCAGTATCGGGATGATCCGGAACACGATGCTTCGAAAGAGTGAGTATTTCTTGAATGGCTCGTGAAATGTTTTTCCAAGCAATATTTATCGCTGATATTTAAGTCAAATTTAAGCGAATATTGGTTTTGAGAAAAATTGACGAGAAGCCGTAGTAATGGCTTCGGATGTTTACGTAGCTACTAAATTATCGGCTTACGGTAAATCTTATTACCGTCGATTCCCACTCATTATTATTCATTCGTAGCTAATATAAACTTAAAGTATTAATCACGTTATACCATACTTGCAACTAGATTTACATTGTTTAATAGGAAATATTGGTAATAGAGTTACTGTATTTGTTACAAAATTATGTAATCGACGTCTTAAACGTGTACATTCTTTCGTTACATTTAAAGTCCGGAATGGAATTACGATCGTTTTTAATCTATTAATTCATTCGGGATATATTTAACTTTTTTCATCTAATCTTTTCGGGATATGCGAAATATATTTATAGAGGTAGTCGAAATTTAGTATCGTTTAGAAAGGATTATTGAAAATAAAAAGATAAAAGATAGTTCGGAATAAAATTTCATGCACAAATATCGATCATTTGGCACTCTTATATTTGCAAGAAATTGATAATAGGCAAAGAGATATTAGGAAATACAAAGTCTGGATGTAAATCAAAGTTTGGTAAATGTTTCTTTACGAAGCGAGGAAGATTAGAGATTCGAGCAGAATTGGCGTTGCTAATGTGAATAACTTTAAATAACCTTAAAAAATGTATGCCCAACAGTTCTTATATAAAAGTCAATTAAAATAAATATTTTGCTATACTTGCGGACCATTCGATATAACGTATGTGGTTAAATTATTTATTATTTTTTTAAATTGTTGCGTACATTTTTTAATTTTTGTGTGCACTGCAGTAGTATTAAAGAATTCAAAGAATATCTACTTAACGTAACTATACCTATTAATATTAACGATAATTTTCGACATTCAATACAAACTTTTAGGTTTGTGCTTTTGCGAGCACAGAGTTTTATAGTTTAATATTCAAAAATCTTTTTATTCTAATTCGTAACTCGTATCCCATTATTATCGTTTATTGCCCAGGTAACATTGAATTAATATATATTAAATTATTTCTACGTTTAAGAATTATATATTACAAGATTGGCTTTTTTAAAATCGTACATTAATACTACTTATTTATTTTCTATATATTAGTTAATTAAATTTTTATTTAATATAGAAAAATGATAGTTATATATATATATATATTGTAAAAATTATTAAAAAATCATTATTTAATTTATTTAACATAATATGATAACGTATTAATATTTAGTTAAATAATTACAAATGTATGTAAAGATGTATGTATATATGATATGCGTCCATACGTAATTTCTATTGCAAAATACCGTTCTTTCAGAAATCTGTCATGATCTCTATAGTTTTCATATCGTAAGATTTTTATCAAACATAATAATGCTAACATTCTGTCAAATACAGGCCATATTTCTTTCATGTATAATGCAAAATGAATTACTTATGTTAGAGGATTTTGAAAGTTTAAGTATACGGCTTATCCCCTACGTTCATCCTTCCTTCTAATGTATTATTATATTGGTTAATGTAACGGAAATAATCCGTTTTCTCTATTGGTAATATTAATCTTAAATTAATGAAAATATTCCATTAAAAATATTGACTTGGATTGGACAGATTTCACAAAATAATTACGATTTTCAAATGATTGTATTACGAAAAATTATCAAATTATATGAGCAATGAGCATACCGACAATAGTATGAAAAAAAAATAGATAATAAGAAAATATTCCAATACATTTCATACAGCATATATATATATATATATATATACTACATACATATGTACGTAAACGTAAATGACGTGTACTGCAGTTAGCAAATACTTATTTGTATTTATTAAAAGTATTGAAAAGTCACTCCCACATGATCGTCGCGATGATCGACATACCATGGAATAGTAATATCAGAAGAAGCAGAACACATATGTGATAAAATAGTCTATAATTCTTGTTTCGCTCCTTATTGAGCTCGTCCTCTTTATTTATTCGTTTTCGTGATTGTCCTGTAAATCGCACCTCTAATCTATTGCGTACGTTGGCCGTCAGATAATATACGTCCTTCACTCACCTCCGCTTCCTTTACTTTTGGTCTAAACACTCATTTGAATTTCTTTGAATTTCTGTACGCGATCTGACTTTTCTCAGTCTCTATACAGACAAAATTCATTTATGCTGAAATTATTTCCGAGTGCGTCGTTTTTCCAGCGATAGTTTTAGGATGGTTTCAAGGACCCACGTTATGGCAACCTTTTTTTTCTTGCCCTTTTAATTTTCGAGTTTACATTATAATATAGTCAATTGAAAAAATAATAATATAAGGGTACGCATATAAGTGCATTTTAATGAGATCTTACGTGTAAAATGTATACTTATATTTTCATTTGTTGTATGCAAATTTTTTATTACTACATCACTTGATGAGGAATTTCGTTGAAAAAAATTCATTAAAAATTTAATTAACCAACTTATTCTTAAACTTTCCTGAAAGTCTTCACATTATTTGTACTTACATTTGTACTTTATATATGCTTTTAATTGAAATATACATGATCATCTTTATTCTCGAAATTAAATTTTTTGAAAATAAATATTAAAATAAACGTAAAGTAATCAACTGGTTTTGATGTAATTTTTATTATCGATTACATTAATCAAATAAGATTATATTTTTCATAATTGTCATTAATTGCAATTTTAATTTTTCATACTATAATTACGATTAGAATTAGCCAAATTATTTATGGATCTATTGCTATCTATTACTGATTTCGTTGCGTTAATTTCCTTTGGATAATCATAATTTACATTGGATAAATTAATTAAATAAAACTTTTCAGTTCTATTGAGATATTCATACATCATATTATCCAATTTACATATAGATTTCAATAGAATAATTTTTTTATGAATTTTTTCAAGAAAATAATAGACTTACAGTTATCAAAGCATACACAGTTGCAATTTATACGGCATTATTTAACATTGTTTTTCAAAATATATTAATATCGAAAATGTAGTTGCTTGATGAAACGACAACAGAAATGAAAGTTCTTTAGTTTCCGCCAACACTCGAACACATCGTCACGTGCCAGATTCAGTTTATGACAAACTTGACCGACTGCCATAAATAGAATTTTTTATTTAATTAAGTTTCATGTTTTACATAATATTTGCTTTATAAATTACGTGGTTGTTATTTTTAAAATAAATTTATTGAATTTTACACTATATTATAATTTATAAATTTTTAACGATGCATTTATAGTATTCTTATAAAATATATTCAAATATATTGAAAAAGCAAATAATGTTAAAAATTTAAAGCCCCACGCAATTCAAAGTAACTAATTGTAATGTTTTATTATAATGTTAAATTATCAGCTTGTTTTTCGAACATATCATTTTCAAATAATAATCACTCGTTAATATTTCTTTTATTACCATAACTTTTATATCGAAAAGAGATAATTGGTTTTTTCCTCTCAAGTACTATTCGATTAGATATTTTTATACTTATCGATATTGTCAAAAGTTACTGTTTATTTTGCTGTAATAAATTAAAAATATATAAAATATATTTTATTAATTCATTCTGTGTAATGGGTGATAGGTTCTTTTTTATTAATATAGTAAATTTAATGAAAATGTTTTAGAAAAATAACATCCGGTTTTGAAATACTATAAGACAATGTTAATTTTTACCGAAAAATCGTTCAAGAGAAAAATATTTGAAATATTTAAGGGGTACTTACTCTTTAAAATATATTTTTTTATTTCGAACAGATTGCAAGTAGAGAAATCATTCCAAAATTTGTTTATATAAATGATGTCTACGAGCTTTCGCAATCTTTCATTTTTTAGTATTCTATTTTATGATCAATAGAACTGAAAAAATGAAAGATGCATCTTACTAGTGTTATTAGGAATAATTTTGTAAGAAATTTAAAAGCATCTAAGCCTTAATATTTTGTGAGATAAGTGTCTCATATAATAAAATGTCCCCTTTTCTAGGCATAACAATTTATGCACATCGACTGAAATGGATAATATTTAGTGTTTATATCAATATAAGTAGAAGTTAATCATATGAGGTCAGACATCTGTTACAGTCAATTCTCGCAAGATGTTATCTATAATTTTAAAATAGCACAATTAAACTTAACGTTCTTGCAGTGATACTTAAATATACATAATTTAAAACTATCGTAGCTGATAAGTATCAATAATATTGGCTTTAACATGATAACTCAGTTAATCAAGTTTTATAATGTTTTCTTCATATAGAAACTTCATTTCTCGATTCGAAGCATATACATTCCATTAGTCCCTGCATAAAGCGTCTTAATTAGTCCTTGTAATATCTTATTTGTGCCTAAAATTATTAATTGACGGCAATGAGATAAATGTCATTTCTATACAGAGGCAAAGTACATTCGAGGACTTTTAATTGATTGACTATGTACGCAGATGATAATGTCTTAATTATAATATTCTATCAGTGATCGTTTACAAATTAATGTGTCGTATCTTTGATTTATCTCGCTGAGTATCACTGTAATTTCATCAATAAACTGATCTGTTTTAACTTATTTCTATCGTTATGCAGTACAATACATACCAAATTCACACTTGCAAGGATCACTCATCTCCTGTCATTCTGCCTACATATTACATGGAGATAATTAATTTTCATAAAAACATTAGGAAGAAATGCTGGCAATGATCATGAAATTTGTGCTCCGTTGTGAAATTACTCCTGAAGCTTTCACTGTACGCGAAAACTAGTTTCATTGCCGTATTTCCGTTTATTTTCTGATTCAAAAATTGGAGTAATTATTTTCCCTTTTAAAATAAATTTCAATAGAATTCATTGCTTTAAAATGTCCCATAAATGTTCAGGTCTTTTTTTGAAAGTTGCAGTTGTAGAAAAAT